GAAGCCTCAAGAGAGCCCCAACATTGGGTTAAGTGCTCCAATATGGAGAAGGATAGGCCCTAAGAATGCACCAAGATCGCCGAAGATTGGCGCAAACATGCCCCAAATTTGGCTGCCCATTGGAGCAAGCTTTCGTAAGCAACAAAAACGACAAAAAACTGTCAAAGCCACCTTTCTTACACTTGTCGGACCTGATGTTTCATGGATTTATGGTGTTTTACGCACAGTACGCAAAAGACCACCTGCCAAGTCAAACGGGGCAGAGAAAAAAGCAGCCAAGTGGACCAACATGGCCGCAAAACAAGTAACATAACAGCAGCAAAGCCTTCAACATAGCCCTGATCTAGACCCCAACGGCCCCAATCACTTCCAACATACCTCCACGAGAAGCCGCAAGAGAGCCCCAACATTGGGTGGAGTGCTCCAATATGGAAAAGGATATGTCCCAAGAATGCACCAAGATCGCCGAAGATTGGCACAAACGTGCCCCGAAGTTGACCACCCACTGGAGCAAGCTTTCATAAGACAAAGCAGCAAAAACGACAAAGAAAACTATCAAGAGCACTTTTCTTATACTTGTCGGACCTCAATTTGCTCATTGTTTTTACAGTGTTTTACCCGCGCTACGAAAAAGACCACGCGCCGAAGTCCAGCAGGAGAGAAAAAGCAGCTAAGTGGACCAACATGGCCGCAAAACAAGTGACATAACAGCAGCAAAGCCTTCAACATAGCCCTGATCTAGACCCCACGGCCCCCAATCACTTCCAACATACCTCCACGAGAAGCCGCCCCAACACCGGGCGAAATGCGCCAACAGGAAAAGGACACGTCCCAAGAATGCACCAAGATCGCCGAAGACTGGCACAAACGTGCCCCAAATTTGACCACCCACTGGAGCAAGCTTGCATAAGCAACAAAAATGCAAAAAATACAACAACTGTCAAAACCAACTTTCTTACACTTGTCGGACCTCATGTTTCATGGTACATAGTTTTTTTTAGTGCTTTACACACACTACGCAAAAGACCACCTGCCCAAGTCAAACCGCAGAGAAAAAGCAGCTAAGTGGACCAACATGGCCGCAGAACAAGTAACATAACAGCAGCAAAGCCTTCAACATAGCCCTGATCTAGACCCCAACGGCCCCAATCACTTCCAACATACCTCCACGAGAAGCCGCAAGAGAGCCCCAACATTGGGTGGAGTGCTCCAATACGGAAAAGGATATGTCCCAAGAATGCGCCAAGATCGCCGAAGATTGGCGCAAACGTGCCCCGAAGTTGACCACCCACTGGAGCAAGCTTTCATAAGACAAAGCAGCAAAAACGACAAAGAAAACTATCAAAACCACTTTTCTTACACTTGTCGGACCTAATTTTTTCATTGTTTTTACAGTGTTTTACCCGCGCTACGAAAAAGAGCACGTGCCGAAGTCAAACAGCAGAGACAAAGCAGCCAAGTGGACCAACATGGCCGCAAAACAAGTGACATAACAGCAGCAAACCTTCAACATAGCCCTGATCTAGACCCCACGGCCCCAATCACTTCCAACATACGTCCACGAGAAGCCTCAAGAGAGCCCCAACATTGGGTGAAATGCGCCAATATGGAAAAAGATATGCCCCAAGAATGCACCACGATCGCCGAAGATTGGCACAAACGTGCACCAATTTTGACCACCCACTGGAGCAAGCTTGCAAGCTCAAGAGAGCCCCAACATCGGGTGAAATGCGCCAATATGGAAAAGGACATGCCCCAAGAATGCACCAAGATCGCCGAAGATTGGCACAAACGTGCCCCAATTTTGACCACCCACTGGAGCAAGCTTGCATAAGCAACAAAAATGACAAAAAAACTGTCAAAACCAACTTTCTTACACTTGTCGGACCTCATTTTTCATGGTACAGAATAATCTTCTATAGTTCTTTACACAGACTACGCAAAAGACCACCTGCCCAAGTCAAACCGCAGAGAAAAAGCAGCCAAGTGGACCAACATGGCCGCAAAACAAGTAGCGTAACAGCAGCAAAGCCTTCAACATAGCCCTGGGCGAAACGCGCCAACATGGAACAGGATATGGCCCAAGAATGCACCAAGATCGCCGAAGATTGGCACAAACGTGCCCCGAACTTAGGTACCCACTGGAGCTAGCTTTCATGTTTTTTGTGTTTCACACGCACTGCGCAAAAGACCACCTGCCCAAGTCAAACAGTAGAGAAAAAGCAGCCAAATGGACCAACATGGCCGCAAAACAAGTAACATAACAGCAGCAAAGCCTTCAACATAGCCCTGATCTAGACCCCACGCCCCCAATCACTTCCAACATACCTCCACGAGAAGCCTCAAGCGAGCCCCAACATTGGGTTAAGTGCTCCAATATGGAAAAGGATATGTCCCAAGAATGCACCAAGATCGCCGAAGATTGGCACAAACGTGCCCCGAATTTGACCACCCACTGGAGCAAGCTCTCACAAGACAAAGCAACAAAAACGACAAAGAAAACTGTCAAGCCCTTTCTTACACTTGTCGGACCTCATTTTTCACGTGTTTTTGTGTTTTACACGCACTACGCAAAAGACCACCTGCCCAAGTCAATCGGCAAAGAAAAAAAGCAGCCAAGTGGACCAGCATGTCTGCAAAACAAGTGACATAACAGCAGCAAAGCCTTCAACATAGCCCTGATCTAGACCCCACGGCCCCAATCACTTCCAACATACCTCCACGAGAAGGCTCAAAGAGAGCCCCAACATTGGGCGAAACGCGCCAAGATGGAGAAGGATATGCCCCAGGAATGCCTGAAGATTTGCACAAACCTGCCCTAAATTTGACCACCAACTGGAGCAAGCTTTCATAAGCAATAAAGCTCTCACAAACACATTTCTTGCACTTGTCCAAACCTTTGCGATGCTGGTTATGCTCCCTGGGGAAGACTGCAGTATTGACATCATGGGTGTGCTCGTCAGGAGCAAGCTTTCATACGCAAACAAACGATAAAAAGAAGAAGTCAAAAACACCTTCCTTACACTTGTGGGACCTCATTTTTTCATGGTTTTTACAGTGTTTTATGCACATTGCACTTCAAAGCCTTCGAATGCGAGATAACAAGATAAACCTCAAAAATTGCCTCCCGTGCAGGTAAAATGCAACTTTTTGAAGGTAAATAAGCCCAACACAAACCCATCCAAAGCCATTTTTTACTGTAAATTACAGTGTTTTATGGACCTTCGAACATGCCAAAAAAAGCCCGCACGGTCTGCAAATCAGCTTGGCCCCCCCCCCCCCCCCCCCCCCCTCCCCTTTCGGTAATACTTCCAAGCGCTACAGCGCTTTCCGTCATCTCTTGAGGTTTTTGCGACTGTAGCTTATGAAGCAACACTCTCTAGAAGGTTTCTGTGCTCAGTTTCAGAAGAATTCCTTTCACATCATGACTGTCTGTACCGTTTGTGGGCCAAGGACTGAATTTAATGTTGGTGGGTGCTTGTGGGCAAACTTGCTCAATGGGAGTGGTGAAGCCACGAGTTTCACTCAACGGGATACTGCAGTGCCATGACGAGTTTGCAAACGACCAAACAGCTCCGGCAAAAGGCCCGGCAAAAGCCCCTTCATCACAAACCCCCGCAGAGCCCCACGTCCGTCACCAGCGTGGTCTCTCAAAGCTCAATGAATATAATGAATCATGAATGAAACCAATTAAATATATCAATGTTGAATCATGTTGAATCTACATTCATCTCTCTCCCTCACAAAAGCTTCTGGACATCTCTCTATTCGAGTGGCAGCTTCTCGCGGCTCCTTGCAGTTGTAAGGCAGCAAGATCTGAGCGTAGCGGTTTATTACGTGGTGATTGCCTTTGCGCACCACCTGCCATTCAGTCCCAGCGGAGACTCCCGTGCCATTGGTGGAGGTGTCCTCCAAACACATCGCCGCTTCAGCTTCAGGCTTGTCGGGTGGCCTGAAGGGATCATGGATAGGTCCTAGATGGATGATCAATTGATCTAAACTGCAACAGAAAGGGAACCGCAAAAAGAACCAGGTCAAGTTCTCCACTTTGATCGATTCCAAACACAAGGATGTTTTGGAACGTGAAATTGCAACTCTTTGGACTGCTGGTGGCTGCTGGCAGCTGCAGCCACCGGCCACCAGCGAGATTCATGTCTTTTCCGTGCCTGTACCGCAGCACAGCATGATGTCCAGATACCCCGCGTGAGGCCACCACCACATCACAGTCTGCACCACGGCCAAGCAACAAGGCATTTCCAGGTTGTAGGACAAACTGCAGGTACTCAGCCTTTTCAGAAAAAGCTCAAAGAGTCAGCAGGCAAAAGGCTCTAAACGTCCAAGATTGTGTTTTGATGATTCTTGATGTGTATCTGGAAAGGTGTGTTTCTCTCACAGTTGTATGAACTGAATGTAAAATTTGGAGGTCACCGCATGGTATGGAGAAAAGTGATGCCAAAGAGACAGCTTAATCGACCCCACGTTTCTGTGCTGGTGCAGTATGTTTAAGTCGGACAAGTAGCACCGTGACTGAAGGTAACCACCTTTGGCACGGCCTTGCCGCTGACCTTTCCACCGTCATTCATCCCATCCTCGTGAAACGAGCGCTGGACCAAGTGGTGATCCTAGCGCCACCAGCTCGGATGATGAGAAATCCAATATGATTTCGATTTCAGTGGAGGTACGATGAGATTGGTTGGGATTTGCTTGGTCTGTGTTCCTATGCCTCTCTAAGGCCATTTGATTATGGCTGTCTTCCTGGGCCATGTCCCAGTCGTCCCTATGTCTTGTGCTCACTCCATTTGGCTGTCTGCAGTCTGCAGCAAGAACCCTCTATATAGAAACCTGATTGAGCAAAGTGAGGCGGCAAAATCTGCTCATCTGAACGCAAAACTGCCTTCCAAACTGTTTCTGTCATTGACTCGCTCCCTCTCTCTCTCTCTCTTTCCTTTGCCTTACTGATGAACACAAGACTCGCTGAACTGAAGACTCGCTCACCGGTCCCCATGCACCACAAAGCCGGAATTGGCCAACCTCCCTGGCCTTGGCACCGTCGCCAATGAGTCCGGCGATGGAAAGCACATGAAAACACTCAAAAACTCGACGTGCCAGTGACGAAAAATTCAACGGGCGATGTGGAAAAAGCTCACCTGTGATGTTGGACAGCTCTGTTCTAAAGAACCGTGAATTTTGATGATCCTCAGCGAGGATCCCACCAGTTCCAGACAGCTTCAATGTTTACGCAAGCAATCGTGGCAGCCGTTCGATTGAGTGTAGAAAGTGCTGGATGGTGCTGGTATAGCAGCTAGCAGGAATCCACCCATCAACACGTCCTTTTCTCTCTATTCAGGCAGTGAAGCTCGGCCACAGCCGTGCCAAGCAACAGCAAGAGAGCATAGACAGACCTGATCCCCATCCCCGCAAAGAAGTGACACAAAGTGACACCAGAATCAAGGAGGTTGGCATATAAAAAATGCGAAAGTTAAAGATCAGACTGCTGAAATCTGCTGAAAGCTAAGAAAGGCACGAGCACACATGGTCAACATCCTCGGTGAAAAAAAACAGGACACGAAAGCGTTCAACAGCACAGAAGGAAGACGTTCGCGGCAAACGGTGAGCTCTTCCAGCTAAAATGACAACAGCAAGGCAGTCCCAGGATCAATGCAGCTAGAGCGGTCCAGCCAGGTAAATGTCGCAAGAAATGCATTGCAGGCAACTGCAGCATCACTCCCAAGAGGTCCAAGGCGACCAAGAGGCGGAAATTCTGAGCATTGCAATCATGCGAATGGATAGGATCTTCAATGCCAATTCATGAATGTTGCATCCTGCTGTCCATTTCTGATGTCTGTGACCTCAACTGGCCCCCTATCTAAAGATCAGCTACATGACGCGACTTGGTGGCCTTCGTCGCCAGCATGGCACCATCCACAGGATATTCGAACACCTTGTGGCCCAACGGTTTGCCGGTTTGCTGTGTCAATTCCGTGTTTCGTGGGGCCTGACTCAAACCCAAAAAACGAAGCAGGTCTCACATGACATGATAGTTATACTGGTGAAACCTTCAGTCGTAGCCTACAGCCCAGCAGCAAGGGATGCCACCGTGATCAGCAAGACCGGCGACAAGTGCTGGAGCAATCGTAGCACATCTGGGTCAGCCTTGGATTGGATAATCAGAATGAATTTCAACATAATGCAGGTGTTTGTAATTTGTATATGCAAGATGTTTAACAGCACCCTTACATGAGGTCGTGGGGCCGTTAGACTTGGGGGCATATGAGCCACCAAACGCCCAACCTCAAAAATCAAACACAGAGATGGCCAGAAAGTCCAATCTGGCATTATTCGTGAAGAGAAATGAAGATCAGCTAGAGTCTGCATTGGCACCACTCCATGCTGCGACTACAGCTTCAATGCTTGGACGAGGCTCCGAGAAGAGGCGACCGCCAAGCCACGCAGCCAAGGCTGCCAAACTTCCAGCACCCAGTCCAAAGACAAGGCCCAAAGTAAGCAGGCTCCTAGCCGTGGAGGACCAACAAATCCAAGCCAGACAAATTTTCAATGCGGTAATTAGGGAGGTAGGCCCCTACCATATACCCCTAGACTATACGTGAACCATTGTGAACAGGTCAAGACTTGTTCTTGCCAAATGCTGCTGGTGTGCTCAAGGACTGCGGAGGCGAATTCTTGCCGCCGAGCATCTTCACCGCCCGCCGCACACCGCGGCGGTCCTTTTGCTCCAGCAATGGTGGTAGCATCGCTTGGGCTGCCTGGCTCAGAGGCTCTCCAAAGAGGCCGAAGAGAGTGTACAGATTGATGAGAACCTGGTAGGCCGCAAGGGCAGTGGTTCCCAGTGAAGCCGCATACAATGCCATGGCTGACAGGGTGAGGAAGCGGGAGATCAGAACCAACAATAAAGGACCTGCACAACGGCAAAGGCATGACTTCATGTTCGTCTACTGGCTACAAACTCGAAACACAAAGTAAGAATAGCTTGGATGTGCTGCTGCAACGTTTGAATACCACAAACTGGCCTGCGTACTCGAGCAAAGGCTCAAGGTACGCTACCTGCATCACTGGATGACTGTCCAATCCGACTGACATCTGTTCAGTTTCACCAGTGCTGCAAGAACAACACTCCCATGTTGGGTTTGTTGGACTATGCTGAGCTCACCGTAAGCCCGGCACTGATGTCGGAAGCCGAAGCCAACTCCCTGGAAGCAACTCCTGCGCAAAGTTCTGCAGAATAAACTAAACTGAACTGCACGTTGATCAGTTGGGGGAGTTGTCCTAAAGTGTTCTACCCGAAAAGTTGTCCTTTGCTTCTTTCGCAAAACTTTCGTTTCCCTTACTCCAGCTTTCGCAACGTGAAGAGTTTACCTTCAACAGCATGACTTGAAAGCTCAGCAACTAAATCCTAGACATTCCTAGTTAGACTTCGGTAACGACCAACCTCAAGTCTAGGGCCCTCCAGTTTTTGAGGTTCGTACATTCCGTTCTGTGTGGGTGTGACATGACATCCTATACTATTCTCTCTCTATGTATGTACACAAAATGTATCAAAACGATTCAAAACGTGTATGTACACCAGTCACAGTCATGTTAGTTTGGCGGTGACTAAGGGTTCTTTCATGTTTTTGCTCGACCTGTTTCGACCGCAACACAGCGCCGTGACGCGAGAGGAGTGGCGACTCTGTCCCGGGCGCGAAGTGCTCGCAGCATCAACACGAAGCTGAGCCTGTGGCACATTTGCCGGTGAAATCGTGTAGATGTGTGTGAACAACAATCTCCATGATCACCTCAACTGCCAAAAAGAACCATCCAATGAAGACCTCCAACACCTCAAGTCTTCTACATATGCCTCCCCTTCGAAGCGCCCCCCGACCCCACCACGTCGCGAAGGAGGTGGCGAGTGCAGCACCGGCCACACCCAAATGTCCTGGCCACGCACAAAGAAGGAAGTCGCCACCTGGGCTCGCCACAGAAGGATAAACAGGAGCATACAGCAGCCCATCACGGCAGCAACCGCAGGACATCACCACTAGTGTGCACTCCAATGTAGCTAGTAGCTTCTTGTTACTAGTAGTGATGGCCTCCGCCTAGTAATTATCGTCCTTGTACTCAAGAACTGAAACCATGCGAAACCTGCGCTACCTCATTCTAAGCTGGCAACAAATATTGGCGATGGCCTCGATAGCCACAACCTGCGAGAGAAGAAAGGAGGTGTGCCACCCCGCCTCTTCTGCTTCAACTATCTTCAACTCTGAATCTGTGAAACCATGGCATGGATACATGTACCACACCCAGCTATGAGGATCCTAGTGGATTCTTTCCGGGTGTTGCTTCTATCCTGCTCAGTCGTTGCAGCACAGCAAGGACTAGCTGAACAGCTCAGCTGCCTTCAGCGGCGTGATTGAATCTTTGGTGGCCAAGAGCGCTGAGAGGCACACACTCTGCGCGAGTGTGGCCCAAGTCATTGCACCGCGACTCGGTAGGCATGGGGACAGTCAAATGATGCACCGGGGCCCTATGTTCCATATAAACTGGGCGTGTATATATATATATATGTATAGATATTAGAGTAACATATCTAGCATCTCAAGCGGCAAAGCTGGGATGAGGAGCTGTTAGCAGGAAATCGAAGCATCATTTTACGAACCAATATTATGCTGTCTCTGCCACGCACTCTGGTAGAGACCGCTGGAACGGTCTTCACAACTCGAGTCGAGAGCTTCATAATATGTCATTATTATAAGTAAACCGGGGGGAGAGTCAACTAATGACTAATGATCTGTGTTCGATAACTGCCTGCTCTCCCAAAAGCAGCGACTTTTCTGAGGTTGCCGGACCTTATTTCTTAGGTCACGGTTGTATTCGGAAACTGGGACCGTTGTATTCGGAAACTAAACGGTTGACAGTTGATGACAGTTGTATTCGGAAACTGGCATTCGGAACTACAGCGTGGGATTCAGAAACTGATAATTGGAAACTGCCCATTTGCATTCAGAAACTAAACAGTTGTATTCGGAAACTGGACGGTTGTATTCGGAAACTAATGTTCGGAAACTACAAAGAGCAACCAACACTATTCACGGAGATCATCAACTTTTCACGCAACTACCCACCTATGTTTTTCCCGCCCAACCCCCGCCACCCCACCCCCATAATTTTTACAGAATACGAGGAACATAGTTTCTGAATACCACGAACATAGTTTCTTTTCTGAATCCCACAGTTTTTGAATACAACGAAATAGTTTCTGAATAGAGTATACGACAAAGTAGTTTCTGAATACGACTACGACGACAATAGTTTCTGAATACCACGAAAATAGTTTATTTTCTGAATCCCACAGTTTCTGAATACAACGAAATAGTTTCTGAAGACTAGCTTCTGAATACAGCGCAGTTTCATGCAGTTTCTGAATACGACTTTGTTCCCTTGGTTCACCACCAGTGTGCAGCAAAGGAGCATTCTTGCATAAGCTGACGCATGGGGCAAAAGCACAGGCGATATATGAATCAGCTTCAGGATACGCTCCTCATGCAGTGCTCGCCCAATCCCCACACCGGGTCCAATGGACCACTTAGACGTAGAATAATGTTAATGCACAAAAGCCCAGTGGTTCTACAAAATTGTCAGAATCTTCACTTAGACTAGACTTGGACCTAGAGCACAGTTGGCTCAGGCTTTGACACCACCCGCATGAACGACATGCGCTATGCCATGCGCTCTGTCCGAGTAGGTGACGTACATCAGCGACAGGGCGATGCCCAGTGGCATGGCCACACTCAAGGCACGAACCAATTCCGCTTGCGCTGCCTGTGGCATCAGGCCGGGAACACTCGTGACACCTGTTTCGTGGTTTTGAGGGGTGGCACAACTTAACCTGCTAAGCACTGTAACAAGAAAGTTGTACCATGACGAAATCACGGCTGAAGACTCAACGCCCTGGGCCACTGCACCTTGGCTCCTTTGGCCGCTGCGCGGGACACCAAGCCCACAGTGGCTCGTGGCAGGAAAACGACCAAATACCTGGAAAGGAA